CAATAAAATGTAAAACTGGCACTTGTTTAATCATTGGTAAGGTACGACATGCAACAGCTTTTAAAATTAGCTTTATTTCAAAAATATCAAAATGTTCATCATCCGTGTAATGAAAGTGCACATAAACATTCTCTGTAAGTAGTTACACTCATTGTTTTTTTTTTCTTTGTCGTTGTTCTTTTGATAATTCACAAACCGTGCATGGTCAAATAGGATTCATTTGTCGTGAAAGATCACGTGAGGAGATTCATTTTCGTGCTTTATTACCTGAGCAGAAAGGCACGTGTGATAGGTACTATATATTCCAACCAGCCGTAAACCCCACGAGGCCTCTATCATTTTAAGCAGTCAACTTGATTCGGGATGATTAAAAGATATTCGTGACTTACCTATTCTGTATCATACTCGTGATATCAAACATGGCTTACTACATCAAGTAAATTTACTGGTGTTTTGTCAGGAAGTGCATAAAATGGTTTTGTTTGTGTGTTGGTAAGCATAAAGCTACACAATGGGCTACTCGTGCTTGCTCACCAAGGGCATCGAAACCCAATTTTTAGCGTCATAAGCCCAAAGACCTCTGGTTGATGGTTTATGTTAAAAAATTATTTTGTCTGTAACTTGAACACATGAAATCAAAGTACGAAATTATACGTGTACATAACACCAAGAATATTAGGAAAATCCAACAATCGTTTTATGTTACACCAACAATACATATAATAAACACACATATAGATGATTGTACAATACAACACTGTTTTATGGTTTTATGTTAGAGCAACAATACATATGAAGAACACACGTATGGACGATTGTACTATATAACACAGTTTTTATGTTACAGCGACAATAATATGAAGAACACACGTATGGATGACTGTACTATATAATACAGTTTTGTGATAACTTATAAGTTGAAAATATAACAAATATGTTCAGATATCACACCACAGAACTGGTGTACATGAAATATTCACTACAACATAATCATGAAACTGAAATGTTTATACATTTAATACAATTTATCAATAAAATTATTCTTTACATTAAAGTTAAAGAAGTTCCAAAAAAAACAACTAAAACTTTAATAAACTAATTTGACTTTGAGGAAATATAAAAAAAAAAACGTTTACACCTTACGACTTTGCCAAGAGGTATACTCGAACACAAACCCAGAATTTTTTCTTTGTTTAACATTTTTACACTTCATTGTACATTACGCTACCTGGATTTCAAAATATTTACACAATAATTAGATAATTGTGAGACTAGCACCAGATAATTGGTTTTTAAGACTCATAACGTAGGTAAATTAATATGTTGAATTATACACTGATTTTTCTTTAGGTTAAAAAAAAAAGATTAACACCAGCTGTTACATTTTTAAACACTGAATACAGTGCTATTTTAAAAGTGCGACAATGTTTTTTAGTTAACACAGTAAGTTTATTATTGTGAAATTAACACTTGCTGTTACATCATTTTGAAACACTGAATACAGTGCTATTCCATAAGTGCGACAGTGTTTTTGGTTAACACAGTAAGTATATTATTGTGTAATTAGCACCAGCTGTTACATTTTTAAACACTGAATATAGTGCTAATCCATAAGTGTGACAATTTTTAACACAATAAACAATGTAAACAATGACTGATGTTTCACATTATCTTAGATGTTACAGGTTTTTGCAGTACAGCATTTGATTGATGTACAATAATAAAAAAGCATATATGTGGGTCTGTGTGTGACCGCCATAGTTCCAAGAGGAAAGAACATAGAAAACTTAAATTTTGCACACATACTAAATGGACCCTGAGGGTGTGCACCTGGGTATTACTTATCTTATCCGCATGCGTATCTTTTTATGAGGCAAGCTAGCGAAAGACCGTATAGAAAAGAAGTGTTTTCTTATATAACAACTTCTAATATAGAAAAGCCAGTGTGTTTTGGTAACAATGCGTACCAACAATGACTTTTATGGCATGTTGCTTAGCAACAAAAGTATGTAGGTTATACTTTCATGCTAAAATGAATTCAGAATGCACACACTGACATAGTCATCTGGAATGCATCAACCCAATAACCAGAGTGAAGCCGGGTACTTTTGCTAGTCTTCTATAATAATAAAAGGGCGTGTCTGTGGGTCTGTGTGTGTGACAGACATAGCTTCAAGAGAAAAGAACCTAGAAACATGAACTTTTGCACCCATACTAAGTGGACTCTGAGGGTTTGCACCTAAGTGTTATTACTTATCTTATCCACGTGTGTGCGCGCATGCGCACCTTTTTACAGAAAAGAAGTGGTTCCTTACATTACAAAATACTAAGTGGACCCTGAGGGTGTCCATCTGGGTATTATATTACTTATTTTATCCACGTGCGTGCGCGCAGCTTTTTAATGAGGCAAGCTAGCGAAAAATCACATAGAAAAGAAGTGCTTGTATGTTTCTGGAAAATAAAAATATTTAAAATATTTTTGACTTTTCTTCTATGCTAGAATAGGTTCATAATACACACACTCACAAAGTCATCTAGAATATATCAACCTAATAACCCGAGTGAAGCCGGGTACTTTTGCTAGTCCATTATAAAGCTAACACAGTGACATGTGGACATTTTAAGATGATATACGTATTTACTGTTGAGCTTCTATCTAATCCAGTGACGCTAACACAGTGAATAGTACAGGGCATTGTACACTACCCAAGATGACATGGATATTTACAGAAGAGCTGTAGTTCAATCCACTCTAAAGGAGTCTTCAGAAAAGAAAAATACCTGAAATGCGTTGTGAGGGTATTGTAGGTCCCAAAAGGTCTTCTTCTAATCACTAACACTGGACAATAAAAAATCTGCTACTGGAGAAAAATCAAGTGATTCGGGGTAATTTGATGGTGCTGATTTAACAAATGCAGTCAGAATTTGGTCATCACCTCTAGATTTTGAGTATTATAACATCTCAGTATTTTATCAGCACTGTGTAAAACCATGCAATCAACTCAGTACAATAGATTTATGCAGTGAAATTAATTGGACAGTGTGATGGGTAAAAGGCATACATTTTTGATAACTTCAATCATTGACTGTACTGTATTGGTGTAAAATTCCAAATATAT